GCCTTGATGGTTCATTGGAGTCTGTCTACTTTGCTTTTGTGTGAATTATGATGGAGTGGAGTCTGTTTGGCGTTTAATTTTTATGTTTTCTATTTAGGCTGAGGAAGCTGCGATATCTGCTTTAAAGAGAGCGCTAGGTGCCTTGAACACCCATCTTGCTTCGAACACATACCTAGTTGGGCATTTTGTAACCCTTGCTGACATTATTGTCACATGCAATTTGTTTTGGGGGTTCACCAAGCTCATGACAAAGAGCTTCACTTCGGAATTCCCCCATGTTGAGAGATACTTCTGGACCCTGGTCAATCAACCAAACTTCAAAAAGGTAATGGGTGATGTCAAGCAGACTGAATCTGTTCCACCTGTTCCATCCACAAAGAAGCCTTCCCAGCCCAAAGAAACTAAATCCAAGGCCAAGGAGGAGCCCAAGAAAGAAGCCAGAAAGGAGCCAGCAAAACCCAAAGCAGAAGCTGCTGAGGAAGTGGAACCAAAACCAAAACCCAAGAATCCTCTTGATCTGCTGCCCCCAAGTAGTATGGTATTGGATGACTGGAAGAGACTTTACTCTAACACAAAGACCAACTTCCGTGAGGTTGCTATTAAAGGTAATTATCTCAATGCTTGATTATTGTCATCACACTTAAACATTCAGTGGTGTTAGGTGATCCACACAAGCCAGGCTCGGCTGCCCCAACTGATAATGTCATGGGACCATTTCTGTCACATATATTACTTTAGGAGTGCTCTGTTCGGATTATGTTCTCAAAATTTAGAAACATTGATATAATTTGGTTTGTTTGCCGTTGGCTCCTCTTTGGAATGTAGGAAGTCCTAAACATCAGTTGGGTTTGTTAACCTAGAATAGATATTTATATCCTTGTTTCCTTGCTTTTTTGCAGGATTCTGGGACATGTACGATCCTGAGGGATATTCTCTTTGGTTCTGTGAGTACAAGTACAATGATGAAAATACTGTATCCTTTGTGACATTGAACAAGGTCGGTGGATTTCTTCAGCGCATGGATCTGGCCCGCAAGTATGCTTTTGGGAAGATGCTAGTGATAGGCTCAGAGCCACCATTTAAGGTGAAAGGGTTGTGGCTCTTCCGTGGGCAAGAAATTCCTCCATTTGTGATGGAGGAGTGCTATGACATGGAGCTCTACAAGTGGACGAAGGTTGACCTTTCAGATGAAAACCAGAAGGAGCGTGTCAACCAGATGATTGAAGACCAGGAGCCTTTTGAGGGCGAGGCTCTGTTGGATGCCAAGTGCTTTAAGTGAAATATCTAATCCCTTACTGCAAGGATGCGTTTTTGGTCTGCCCATCTTTTTTTGTTAGGGTTCGATTCCGTGGTCAATTTTAGACAGTTTAGTCTTTGGTGTAATTGAGTGACAAGCATAATTTATAATCCATGTTTTTGAGTTTGATTTTGGAGAATGGTTTAGACATTTAAAATGCTATATGGTACAATCTTTTCATCAGATGTATACTTATTTTCCCATCAATGTTACTGTGAACAACTAGAAGCTGAGAAGAGTATTATCAAGTAGTTCCTTCTTTAGATATGGTAAACCATGAACTTACGAAAATGTGTATTTTACCCGTGTCTTTGTGAACTTGTACGAGAAACGGAGTATTTTTGAAAAATACGACATGCACGTATAATAAAGTGGAGACGAGTAGCTGATCATGGGACTTGGATTTGGATTTCGTTTCTTGAGAATAGCATTTTCCCACAACTGCCCTAGGATATTGAATTTGTGGGGAATGTTGGCATCAAGAAGGTTTCAACCAAATCAAGAAGTACATTCCTATGACTATGATATGAGAAAATTATAATTAAAGTTTATGCGAGAATTTCTAACTCTAGTGCTAACATTTTTTCCATGCCTATAAAGCAAGAGTGATATGAAATGCGCAGATCACACTTGGACTACAGCAAGGAGTTACAAACAAACAAAACAAACAAAAAAAAAAAACAAAAAATCCTCTTTTAAAAAAATTCCATCAAAGCGATACTGCGCAAGTGAACTTTTTATTTTGAAGTGGGTGGTTTCGTCACTTGAATGAAGACCCTAAACGAGGGTGGAATTAGAATATGGAGACATGTGGACAATACTAGAAAAAGGCTTTCGTAATTATTCAAGTTTCGAAAATGAAAAGATTTCAAAAAAGAACAAAAGAGAAAAAAACACGCAAAGCGTGGTAGCGTGAAAGGAGAGCGATCTCTCCAAAGAGAAAACCTTGAGAGAGAGAGAGAGAGAGAGAGAGAGGGAAAGTTTCACAGAGACTTCTGGAGAGATGAGTGAAATTTGTGGCTGCAGATCGTTGAGTTTGTTTGTATTATTGGCTTCAATTTCTCTACAATTCATCCCAGGTTGGGCTTCTGAAATCTCTCTTCAATTTTAAAATTATTAAACTTTACATTCCATTCCATTTTTTTGCGCTTCAATATTTCTGTATCATGCTTTAATTTATATATGTATTCTATATAGCACGCGTAATTATTTTTCTTTATTCAATTGTTCTGTTAGTTTTTTTATAATTCTATTGAAATTCTCTTTGAAGTTGCTTTCTGGGTCCGTTTCAGATAACTTATTTCAAATGTTCGGTTTCTGATAAAACTAGAAAGAAAGAAAGTTCCAAATTTGTTTTTGTTCTTTGTCTTGTTTGTTATTATTAAATAGCTAAAAACCCACCTGATGCAAACCCAACATAGTCATTATTTGAAGTATTATGTGTATGTGGATTATCTAGTTTTGTGGAATCCAAGTACTATAGCTGGATTTTGGAATGGTAGTATTTGCAATCGTAATAGAAATCTATGGTTGAGTGTAGTGGCTTAAAAACTTTTGGAAAATGAAAAAAAAACTAAATATGTTGCAACATCCAAATGTTTAAGTGCTTGCTTTGGTGTCTGCAAATTAATTATCTTTTAAGATTCTTGGCGTTGAAGCATCCTGTAAGCATTATACGATCAAATTGATGCGCTATTACTTCAATTCTTAAAAACCAAAGTTACCGTAGGCTAGGCGATATTATCAAGGAATGATATATGATGCCTTTTTTGATGATATGATATGATTAATTGTTTCTCATGTTAACAAGACGAGATCTTTCATCTCTGGGACCTTTTATTTCAGGATTTTCTGATGATTCATCGGGTTCCAAAAATGAGAAAAAAGCTGTGACGCATTCTACTTCCAGTCACACTGGATCTACGTTGGCCATCATATTCCTTGGACTTGTAGTAGTTGTATTGTTCTCCTTTTTCCTTTTCAAGCTATGGCAAAAGAAGAAACGAGAAGAACAGTATGCCCGTCTTTTGAAGTTGTTTGAAGAGGATGATGAACTTGAGCTTGAACTTGGTCTTCGGGATTGAAAAACTTGGAGTTAATTAAAGTCATGGTGTGCCTCCTGTCTTTGTTTTCAGCTTTTGAATGTGCAAAGTGTCATTTCTTTATTTTCAAAATTGGTTTAGGGACATGGTAATTGGCATCAACAATGCAAACATTGCATGAGTATTTTTTTTTTTCTCCTAACAGGCTTTAAGATCTTATCAGTTTTTCAAACTATCCTACAGTTTGAGATCTTATCAGTTTCCAAACTATCCTACAGGCTTTCCTTTGATTTCCCTTTAGAATCTAGGGACCTATGATGTTTTGAGTATCAGTTCTTTGGTTGTTGTGAGGGGCCTGTACCACTTTTCTGTTTGCTTCACTTATTTACCATATTTGTGTACTGAATATTGATGATTTGGTATATTTTTGGCACCCCTGGGTGTTATGCGGAATCATATACAAACTCTCAAAATAAATTTTTTGATCACAAGTTCAATTAAACTTGTTGAATACTTGTGCACACATGTTGGCATAACTTGAATGCTTTTATGTTTATTTCTTTCCTTTTTTTTTTCTTTTTTCTTTTGAGGACTAAAGTGTGAGGGCATGCTTGTTTGATGTGACTATTCTTATTGTGTACCAAAATGTGTGCAAGTATTTATATCTTTCTTGGTGCATCCCTTTCTTACTGTATCCTGGTTTTTAAGTTTGGAAAGTTGGTATCAATGTCTCGTATTGTCTCCATATCCTGGTTTTTAAGTTTGGGGTATCTTTGTTTTGCAGGCTTGAATGGCTTTTGTATTTGAAAAACTCACTCCCATAACCAGGATTGCAGTTTTGTGTCCGGGGTTGAGGTTAGATAATTTCTGTCAATTGTGACATTTGTAATCTTATCATCAAATGTAATTTTTTTTCTTCTCGCTTTTCTGTTTTGTTTTTTTAATATGATTTCATACGATATGTGAGCTAAGGAAAGAATATTATTTTGTATGAATGCTGACCTTGAATTTTGAATTCACATGTTTGACTAACATCATAGTCCTGACAAGTTGTTTGAATCTTGATATAATTTTGAGATAACTTTAAGTCGTATAAGTCATTGAAGCCATCTGCTTTTCATTGGCTGGCATGAATAAGATAACATAAACTTTGTGCTTGATACAAATATTGTTCTATCTTTCTGCCTTATGTAGTGTGATATTTCCTAACACATGTGGTGTAAGCGTGCGTGGGTGTAGAAAAAAGGGAAGCAACTTCAATTATTTTGATAGTAAATCAAGGATAGTGTTCTTGTATTTGGTAGATGATGCTTCTGGTGTGGGAACCATTCTGTTGCACATTTTGTTGGGGACACCTGCAAGACCTATTGACGAAAGTACAGTCGAGTTTATTGAGGCTAAGCTATCACATCCAAGCCAATTTGTTCTTTATTTGAGTAAAGTTTTACTAATTTTTAATATCTTAATAAGACATCATTGTTATGAAAAGCAGGCATGAAATTGTACTGTTTTATGCACCTGTGTTCAAGAGGGTTAACTATTTAACGGTTCAGTGTGGAGGTTATTTGAAAATGACGAGTAGTACAATTTGCCAGTCCAGGACGTCTTTCTTAACTGGAAAACTATTGATCGGAGATTTTGAAGACTGTTATTCCTAGTTATCTTGACCTAGATAGTAGGATCACTTTTAATGTTTCAAGTTGTTCGTTTTCTTTTGATCATTTTATGATTTCCATAATGAGCCTTTTTACTTTCAGAAGAAATTTGATATTACAATATTTCAGGCAAATCTTTTATGTTATGGATGAGTCACCAGCACACACTAATTTCATGTTTTCTCTTTCCGTGTGATCATTTTGTGATTTCCATATTGTGTTCTTGTAGAGGAAATGAAATATTACGCAGCTTTGAGCCACATATTTAATTTGCAGACATTTTTACAGCAGTTGTGCATGTTTTTAGCAATAAGTTTTTGTATTATACCTGTTCTTTACCCAAATTTTTGGGCTTCTTATGCAGCCTATACTTTTTGAATCATCATTCGATTGAGCTTCTTGAACAGATTGTAGGTTTTTGCTATCTTAGTTTGGAAGTGATCTATGGATGTCTTTATAGCTCTTTCAAAACGGTCTTGTTCTGTTTTTGCATGCTGTCTGATCATAAGAGTAGATTCGTATGGCAAAGATGGTTATCAGAGCTTATGTTCGTCTGTGCTCTATTTTGACAGTGCAACAAATGCTGACAAGTGCTTCAAAGTTTTGGAGTACATAGTTGCACTGACTGTTTCCTCCTCTTCCTTCATCTGGCTGATTCAGTCTCTCCCTTTCAATACTCATATGGCAAAGATCAATTTAAATAAACTTCTATTGCCTATTGCCTTGCCTTTTAAAGTAAATGAAAGGTGCCTTAGCGAAGCGAGCTGACTGATTTAAACTTTTTACATTCATTTTCTGCTTTCTATTTGGCTTGAAAACTCTTGGAAATGATGAGATCAACAACACTTCATTTTGGTGCTGAAGGATGTGGGAGATGATGCTTGGCTGTCTTTAAACTTTTTAAACTCTGTTCTTTCTATTCGGCCCGAAAACCCCCAAAAGTTAAAAGATCAACACTTATTTTTTGGTGCAACATGTGACTCCTAGTAATGATGCTTAATAACACATTTGATCCGTGGCCTTAAAGGAAAGTAGTGTTGAATCTTTGAGATGCGTTGAGCATCATACAAGGCATTTATAAATGTGTTATTGTGTTTTGCGATTATCCTTGTTGGGATGTTTTACAACGATTAATATGCAATTCATTTCAATTACCGATGAGTATGAACCATTCATCAGTCATGGGAGCTGCAGAATCAATGAAAATTTTACATTTCAAGAAATGGTAACAATAGCACGTAGAAGCCATAACAAGATGGCAAAAACAAGAAACCCATCTGAACTTTTTTTTATTTTTATTTTTATGAGCAAGAGAATATACGCATGTAAAACAACAATAAAATTTAGCATTTGCCTATAAACAACAATAAGCTAGGGGGTTGTAAGCTACAATAAGCTTTAGCATTTGCCTACAAGCTGCTGGAAGATGATAGAAAAATCAAACAAGGGGAGCCTATAAGCTATGGGGCTATAAGCTACAATAACTAAAGAATAATGTGTTGGCTATCAATGGGATAACACATGAAAGAATATATTACTGCACGTAGAAGTATGTTGCACAGAACTAATGCAGCGGTTGAACCCTATGAGATGCCAAACAAAGAGCCCAAAATTAGTTCATCAGTTTGTCAACAAAGCTTCTCACGGTTTTGGAAGTCAAAATTATCAAGATGCCACAAGGTCTTCGACGAGTCAGACGCTACTGTTTCAGTGATCAGAAGAATTAATCATGTTTATACGAGTCATCTTCCTGTCTTGGCTCGTTTCATTCCTGTACTGTTAAATGGTGACATGCTAGGGCTTATACTTGGGCTCATACTCGGACTCTCTTCCCTCAATGTACCGTTTAGCATAGCCAATTCTCTAAGCTGTTGCTTCTTATAGTGATCGAAGGACTCGTCCTGCAAGACACAGGTTACAAGTGGTCCAAGAAAATGATGAATTAAGAGTTAAAACTCCATGATTAATCCTATTCATACCACAGGCTTCAGAAGGTTTTCTAGTATGGCCACTGCATGATCCAATCGCGCATTGATTATATCCTCAGGAAATTCAGCCTCCACCAATACATGCAATGGCTCATTAAGATGTTCATATCCAGGCTTTTCTTTTAATTTCTCTTCCTGAAGGTAAAATAGAAGGCATGCAGAATAAGAAAAAGTGCAAATATGCGAGGAGCCGAATGATATCAAATAAATCGAGAACTTGACAAGGATCCATGACCATTTTCAAACAAAATGACTCTTAAGGATACTAATTCATGTGTTGAAGGACACATGACCATATCACATGTGTGTAGTATCATTGGTAAAACAATTACATTCCAACTTATTCGGTAACCTTAATACCAAAAGCAGTATCATTTAAAGGACTGCATATTACTCGCATGATATTTCATTTACTTTATAATAATAAACATATAAATAGAATAGAAACAAATTATTTTATAGTTGTAGAAGTTCGATCCAAAACTCCACTTGGTTTTTTTGGATATTCCCACTTGACATTTTTTTACAGCAAATTGGATGGAATTCAGAAAACTGGACATCAAGGGCCACATTGGCTGTTTTTATAAAATTTAAGACTGTAATTGGCTGATAAAAGAGCTCGAGGGTAAATTGAATGTGATAGTTCAGAGACCAAAACGGCAATTTACCCAAACAAGGAATTAGTGCTAAATAACTAATTGGTTGATTAAGACTCCCATATTTGAAAACTTCAGAGCATAGTTCGCATAAAATATGTAAGAAGGAAACAAACATCGCCATATATAAAATTGAGAAGAGGTCAAAATGGACAAAAACATAAGTTATCTATGAACATAGAATGATGAGCCAAGCTCCAACGTGCAATCAGAGGAGAGAACAATATATTTTGTATAATAAATCAAATGGTACCTGTAAAAATGAATATAACTGGGCACATTTAAGACTTAATTTTTCATGCAACCATGCCAACTAATCTGCTCCAACCTAATCACATGGTCAATACCAAGAAATTTTTTGTAAACAAAGAAAAAAGACTGCAATACCTTTACAGAATCCTTCACAGAGCCCCGACCTCGGATGTAAACCCTACACTCTGTCATCGCTTCAACTCTTTTTAAGGAGTTCCCACGTGGTCCCAAAATTCTGCCAACAAAATTGTACTGCAAACCTTGGAGTCAGAAGTTGTTAACTAAAAGAAAAAGGTCAAAATCATATACCCCTTGCTTACATGTGGATATTTGTCCACTGGAACATCAAGTCTAATTACTCTCTTTACAATAGGAGTGGTTGGAATTCCTTGCACGCCAGGCCAACCCATAGAAGGAGATTGAAACGGGGCCATTCTCTGGATATGTCCATTTTCCTACATGAGACAATGTAGCACAGATGAGGTTTCATACATACAAACCACACAAGACATAAGCAAAACCTAAACTCTCTTCCCACCAAGTCATACTCCATGAAAGAGTTTTATTTAACTATGGGCTTGTGACGCACATGCACATGTGCACAAAGGTGTAAGTAATTGCTCCATTCTCCAATTTGTGGCAAAAAGAATGACACTAAGCAGGTGATTGAACAACAAACAGTAGAGTAGAATCAACAGTATCATATTGGAATTTGGTTTGGACGGCCACCAAAACACTACCAAAATGGACCATGGTTGTGACAGAAAGTCATGTGAGCTTGTGAAACATGCATAAATGAAAATAAATAAATACGTATTGCATACAGTACACTCATTTAATCCTATTACATCCTACCAAACAATAAAGGTAACACTGTCATGCACACAAGCAAATATGAATAGTTACAGAATGGTCAAAAATGAAGTCAAGAAACAACAAAAATGGTCAAAAAGAAAGTAAAACATATTACAAAATACGCATCAATGATATCTAAAACTAACATTACCTCCATTTGCATTCCTGGCCATCCCTCCAAATCCATTGGTCTACCATTTGCGCTTTGACTTAATGTCCTAAATGGACTCTCATGCTCAAGTCTTTCATGATCTACAAGAGTTTGATTGAAGCCTGACACCCGTCTGATTTCTGTGGTGGCATTACAGAACAAATTATGCTTGAGCAAGAACATCAGAACATTGACACTAGTCTAAACATGGCTAAGCATTTTACAACAGCTTCCAACCAACGCACTACATTGATTATATGAGCACACCGTGTACTATAAATTTTCCAATATATGTTTGTATATAGAAGAAACTACAGTTACCACCCCCTGAAAACCCTTTTCAAGGACTCAGTAGAGAAACTATAATAATTGGAAATTTCAAGTATAAGACGTTTTACAGCTTAATATCATTCAGGAAAAAGATATCTGTACTCTAGTGTTCCTTCTAATCTTTTGGGAATACACCATTTGGTATCATTACTTGTCCAAAACGCATCAACACCATAGACAGAACATAGATTTTTCATCTATTGACAAGTATGGGTTGGAACAAACATATCCAAGAACAAATGTCCAACTTCAGCACACAGATGTCAGGTACTCAAACCCAAACTGATGTCACAGGACATGAATGACTATACATACATGAAAAACCTGTACTGAACAATAACTTGTTTATGAGTTAACCAAAACCCCTTTTTAAATTAAAAAAAAAAAGAGTCAGCCAAAGCTTATTGCCAACTACAAAAGAATGTTGTCCGTTCACAAGAGAGATAACAAGACTTAGAAGTTGGCTACATAGGAGCGAAACAGTAGATAGAGTTTCTATTACCGTGATTTAGAAGTCTGCTACATAGGGGCAAAATTTGCATGAATGGTCCCAACTTTTGCTTCTCTGCTAGTAGTTCAGCCAAATATCTGCCATTATACCAGCCAAATCATGTGTCAATTCCTAGCACGTGCAGTTTCTTTATGGTCCCAACATGAAGGTGTGCAAGCGAACTGGTCTAAATGTATTAGTTTTCTTCTTTTTTTTGGGATGAGAGACATAAATTTTTTATTGAGATTTAGTTAAAAGTACAAACATCATTACAATAGACAAGATGTCCTTTGGAAGCCAAATCCTAACAAAAGGCACAGAACACTAAAATGACTAAACTGCCTTTTACATAACAGAAGCCATCATATCAGTAAAAAAAAAAGATAGCAACAGAAACAATAGAATTTCCCTAATCTCTGAAGAGTCTAAAAAGCCCACAAAGATTATCAAAATTCAACTTTGCTACCAAAGAACTCCAATTCCTCCCAAATGCCAAAAATCTTTCTAACCACACCAACCAAATCATCACAATCACACCAAATCTGTCTAAGACTTCTCCGCTTAAACTTTCATCATTACAAATTGCAGAACAACTGGTAAAACCCAAATTTACCTCAACAATGTCCACCACAACTCTAATGCGATCAGGCAATGAAGAAACAAATGGTCAGTATTTTCTGCCATTCACTTGCACACTAGACAACCAGTGAAGAGGGGCAAGCATCAGGCCTCCAGCCATTTCCCAAGTTGAGCCTCATTCTTTCATTACTAAATTCCCCAGATGAGAAAGTTTGCTTCAAACCTTCCAATATATTCTCCACCACTAGACCCCAAAAACAATTCACCTATGGATTTCCTGCAAATGGCAGTCCCAATATTTCATTGACCAACTCCCTCCCCACATCCACACATATCCCTCTAAAGCCTGGAAACTTAAAAGGGGGAAAACCAAAAAATTCAATATGCAAAGTTAATGAAGATTTTGAATCAAAACAATTATTACAACAGGTTAGAACGGTTTTCTGGTTAAAATATTTATACAGCGAAACACTAATGTAATACTCCACTTCTCTTCATGCCTTCAACTATCAGTTTCCTCTGCACCAGAATATGGACATGTGGCGAGTAGTCACTATCTGACACAATAACGGCAATGTGTGCAACACGTCAAGAGCAGTTTGAGTTCCAATTACAAAGTCACTTGGACACCTGTTTCTTTAAATATTTACCTATTTCTTTCTGTATTCTCTTTCCTACTTGAAACACCAAAAACAAAGCAGGTGAGCAAGACAGTAGGTTTCAAACTACATCTCACCTGCCATGCCAACAACACTTCTCCACTACAGAGCATACTCCCACTGAAGAATGAGTCGTTTTCTTTTTTCTATTTTCTTTTTAATCTTGGATTCAAAATGTGGAAATATATAGCTCTGTATGATCTGAAAACAGCAGAAGTGAAGTGAAATAAGAACTTGTGTGGTTTGATCTCAATAGGCAAACACTCAAAATTAGACCAGGATTTGTCCGCCATTTGAAGCATACCCATGTTAACAAATGCAGGAGGAATTTCTTTGTTCCATTTTGACCATGTGGATCTATTTGCGGCATTTTAGAGAAAAAACTATCTAGTAAGTCTGAAAAGTCTGCAGAAATAATCTCCCAAACACATGAAAGAAAGTACACTAAAAAATTTCTTACACAATAAAGCAATTAGCCATATATCTTATTCATGGCATTTCAGAAAAATTGTTAACTTTAAATAAAGTCTGAAAAGCCTAAAGAAACATATCTACAAAACACAATCTTTTTTTTTCTTGAACAATAAAGGAAAATGACCATATAGATATTAAGATTAGCATTTCATAAAATGGTCATGTAAACTATTTCTAGAAACTCATGGAGTACAACAAAGGATTTAAAATTCATAGCATAATACAATCTCAATCCCACCAGGTAACAAATGAAAGATTAAAGATTGAAATCCAAGTACATCAGAAAAACGTAGGACAGCCACATATATGGGATAAACGCATAAGTCTTGAAAATTAAAATGCATAGGCCAGCCACCTCTATATAATATGATAAAAGCACCAGACGCACTGACGGCAAACATGAAGTATGGAACCACCAACTACACATACCAATCAAAACGCATTAAAAAGACACCAAAAGAAGATTGAATTAAAATTTAAGCGCTGGACTGAAAAGACTGACCTTTCTCGATCTACAGGGAGAGAAGACCTGTGTGGAGAAGCATGGACTCCAGGAGGGGGGTACTGGAAGTAACTCCCAGGGGGAATTCTCTCTCCCATCACACAAGAACTACTGTATATGTGAAAGAAACCAAAAATTAACATAACCCCTTAAAAAATAAAAAATAAACCACCCAATTTGACATAAAATTATGCAACTTGAAGGAGCAAACCCAGTTGAAAAAACACCAATAAAGTAAATATCTTGACAAGCGAATAGAACCCGCTCTGATGAAAACACACAGCATACCAATAGAACAAAACAGAACCCAGCAAGAAAAGAACAATCAATATGTATATATATAGAGGGAGAGGGAGAGACTTACCGGATGGAAAGGAGAGAGGAGGAGGGAGGTGGGGGCAGAGATATTCAAATCTATTCTGCCCCTTATTGGAAGTGGGAGTGATGCGAGAGTGAACAGAGAGACAAAATCCCTACTACAGCATGAGTCTCATGGAACCCCTTGCTGTATTTATACTCAATCAAATCACTCATTTTAATATATATTTTTTCTGGACGGGAGAGGTTCGTCATTCGGCCTTGTGAGCCCATGGGCCTACGGGAGCCCGCCCAGTCCATTAAGTAAAAGCTCAGCCCGGTTCGTTGTGACCCATGAAAGCCCAACCTGATTCACATGCCAACAATCCGAGCCTCCGAATTCCTTCGGGTTGTGAGACACATTAAAATTCAATATAAGTCCCAAAAATGCAAATAAAGAAAAGAAAAAAATTTAGAAAAATTAGAGGGAGGGGTCAAAAGAACTTATTAGATGACGGTTTTATTCAGTTTTATGATAACAAAACTGTCTTTACAACTAATTAACGACATTTCGTAGTTTGACATTCAAAAAACGACGATTTTTTACCATCGTCTATTGCATTTTTTGTGGTAGTGTAAACTCAAATTCTTCTTTATAGAGCACTTTCCCGTGTAACCAAGTTGTTTGCACAAATTATGTAACATGGATTGAAGAGAAACCTAGTTGGTTGACCCGTGCTCTTGCTGAAGATGTTAGAGCATTTCCAGCAAGAGGACCAAGGGGAGGGCTAGGGGGCAAACCCAAAATGGTGTTTCCAGCAATAAAAGTCTGCCAGGGCAAGGAGTGGGGCCCAGCGAATTGGGCTGGCCCAATGACGTCAGCGTTTCTGTTTAAATTTTTTTAACACAATGCACGCGCCAACATTAAAAAAAATTTGACGCGCCCGCTACAGTGCCCTCCCAACGGCTCTCTTCCACGTGGCTGGCAATGGGCTCTCCGATGGAGCATGATGGAAGATGTTAGCTTGTGTGAGTCTTGGCTCCAAATTAGTCATTGTCCCGTAACGGGCAATGAGATGAAATTCGGTCATATGTGAAAAAAAATTCATCAGGATTTTTGTGAAAGGGTAATTGGTTCGACCCGTACAGATCAAACATTATCTAGTAGGTGGAAAATTCTTAATAAAGAGTTGGCGAAATAGAGAGATGTCTTGGCAAAAGCGATAAACAACCATAGAAGCGGGCAAAACCTTAGCAGTGAGGTAAATTATTTGTAATTTTCGTTTTATTAATTTCTATGTCATATTAATTTCTATTTAAATGTTTCTTGCAATTTATATATTTTTGTTAATATTTCTTGTATTTCCAATATTAATATGAGTGTTTCTTGCAATATTTATATTTTGTTTTGCATTTCTAATAAATTGTTAAAGTTTCTTGCATTTCCATTATTATTATTTTTATACTTGTTGTATTGCCAATATTTTTTAAAGTTTCTTGCATTTCCATTTTTTTTATTTATAGATTATGCAAGTACAAATGTGGTTTGGTGCTACTCGGCAAGGCAAAAAAAGTTTCAACCATACCCTATGTTGGGAGGTGGTGAAGAATTGTAAGAGATTCCAAATTATTCCAATGGATCCGACGGTAGTCTTGAACGAGATGTCACTCCATAAGACACCGACATCGGATTCACCTACGGATTCCCCGATGAGTCAAGACTCACCTATCAAAAATATTCCAAGGCCTATTGGGAGGAAGGCGGCGAAGGCGAAAAGAGGGAGTAATTCTACCAAGAATGCATCTAAATTTTTGGAGGAAATTTCAAAGATACAAGCCATGATAATTGAAATGGACATGAAACAACAAGAGCACGATAGGGCAATTGAAGTAGAATATGCAAAATAAAGGGAGTATGTACGCTAAGAAAAGATTGAAAAAAAGGATCGGGAAACCATGGTCATGGATACAAGCCATAGGTCCCCTGAAACAAAATAATTTTGGAAGCTAGAACGAAGGGATGTTATGAGACAAAGACTTTTTCGTAACGATGGACCTAGCAACACGGATTGGTTAAATGATCAAAACCATTAAGTTAGTTTGCTTGCCTTTCATTTCATTGTACCATTAAGTTAGTTTGCTTGCCTTTCATTTCATTGTACCATTAAGTTAGTTTGCTTGCCTTTCATTTCATTGTATTTTTTGTTTTGTTTAAAAAATTAGTGGTAATTCATGTATTTTATTTTATGAGTTGTATTGATTTTCTTTTAGTAAATAAAGAAAATATTCAACAAAATTCCTTTTTATTCAAAACATTCCATACATAAAAAGCAAAGCACAACCAAAGCATAAAAAATGAACAAACCACAACTAAAGCATAAAAAAAACAACAAAGCATAACTAAAAATACAACATAAACATAATACATTAAAAAAAAAAAAAAAAAACATCTTCACTTCACTTCATTCACCTTTATTGGCTTTCACCGCCCACAAATGCTCCATCAAGTCAACTTGACGGTGTTCATAAATATACGACAATTACATCTCCGTGTAGCGCTCAATCATATGAGGCATGAAACTACCGTCTCTAACCAACGGATCATGCTATACTGGTTCTCCATTTGGCCCCATGGGTTTTTCATAAATTCGTGTGAAGGCCGTATTCATGGGATTTGGTTCATACACTTCATCAGCATCGTAATCATACCCATCTTCCACAATCATATTGTGGAGGATGATACAAGTCATCATTAGACTCCTAAGCACCTCCTCGTTAAATAGACGAGCCGCGCCCCTGATAATAGCCCACCGGGCTTGAAGGATACCAAAGCACATCTCCACATCTTTTCTATACCCCTCTTGATAGGCAGCAAAAAAAATAATTCCTTATGGGATCGGGGATGTGGAATTGATTTCACAAATGTTGTCTACCTTGGGTAGATACCATCAGCTAGATAATACCCGTTTTGGTAGACGATATTATTGATTTGATATGTGATATTTGGGCCTTCACCTCTCAGAACATCATTGAACACCGGGGATTAACACAGGACATTCAAATCGTTTTGAGAGCCGGCAACTCCAAAGAAGGCGTGCCAAACCCATGTATCAAAACCAGCAACTGCTTCGAGGATGATGTTTTTCTACCCTTTCCGATTGCCATAATCTATTTGCCAAGCAGTTGCACAATTTTTCCATTACCAGTGCATGCAGTCAACGCTACCAATTATTACAGGAAATCCATGAGACTAAGCTTTTTGTATAAGCCGTTGCAGGTCCCTGGGCGTAGGTATGCACAGGTAGTTCCTGATGTACAGAGTTTTCACTGCATCACAAAATCGCACCAAGCTCTCCAAAATAGTGGACTTCCCTATTCGGGCAATCTCATTCACCTGATCAGCAGATGACCCATACGTCAACATTCGTATCATAGCTGTGAACTTTTGCTCGGGAAAAAGCCTCAAATTTCCAGCACAATTTTTCTTTTGAACAAAGTATTCATCATAATTACAAATATCATGCATGACTTTATTGAACAAATGAGGTTGCATTCTATATCTCGCTCGAAAATGAACATCAAAGTACAGAGAATATGGGATAAAATAATCTTCCAGAAGATTCTTACCCCGAGAATGTCTATGTATGTCCACATTCGGGGCACGGCCTTCTTGTGAACCACGGCGGCTCTGGTTTTCTTTCTCCAGCAAAGCAACGGCCATGCCAAGTTGCTTATCTAGTTCTCTCTGCACCCTTTTCATTGCAGCTAGTCGACGCATTCTTTCTCTCCTTTCTTACTCTTGCCTCTCCAAAACCTTTTGCATGTCTGCCATTGAAAATGGAGAATGAAATCTAAAATCTAATAAATAGAAATGTAGAGAAAATCTGGTGTAGGAGGTATGAGCTGAGCCTTTAGTTTTATAGAAAAATTTAGACATATAGATATGACACGTGGCACAATCTTATAGGGTGAAAATCTTATCTAAAATTTGAAATTTGAAATTTATCTTAAATTTGAATTTCGAAATGTATATGAAATTTGACATTTTGAATTTATCTGAAATTTGAATTTTGAAATGTATCTGAAATTTGAAACAAAAAATCTTATTCGATATGAATAGTATTGACACATAGGAACCCAAAAATTTTATCCGAAAATATTATCCAAATTAATTGTTTAAATAAACAAAGTTGTGAAAAAAAACAAAAAAAATGAATAGTATTTGTCATGGCAAGCCTAAATTGTTAGAAACACACTTTGCTGGGGGGCTAGGGTAGCTACTATTCACATGAATAGTAGCTGCCCTAAGGCTCTTCTTGCCATAGCAATGGGCTAACTGGTGGAAATGCTCTTAGAGTTTCATTTTTTGTGAATT